TTCATGAGAGGACTTCAAACCTCAAGATTTCTCTTCTCTTTATCAGAGGAACCTCCTACCAACATGGCTGAGTTATTGGTTCAAGCTAAAAGACATATGAATGCTGAAGATGCAATGATTGCGAGAAAGGGAAAAGAAGGGGAGGATAAGAAGTCAGACAAGAAAAGGCCAGCCCTGACGATCAGATATGAAAAGGAAACCAAGTATAAGAAACCTATGGTCAACCAGAATGAAAGGGCATCTCGCTATAAGAACACGGAGAGGTATACAAATTACACTCCTTTAAATATGCCGATAGATCAAGTTTTCCTACAGATCCAGGATGAACCATATCTGAAGTGGCCACCGAAGTTGAAGTCAGATCCGGTAAGGAGACCTCGTGATAAGTATTGCAGGTTCCATAAAGACCATGGGCACGCTACAGAGGATTGCTTCGACCTTAAGGATCAAATTGAGACTCTGATCCGAAGGGGGCACATGCGAAAATTTATTGTGGGGAATGACGAAACCGACATTAACCCACTAAGAGCAGGCCGAGATAACCACCCTCTTGATCAACAACCAATAGGAGAGATCAGGGTCATAGCCGGGGGGTGTGCAGGAGTTGGAGAATCGAGCTCAGCCCGTAAGGCCTATGCAAGGAGAATGCGAAGCTCGTTTGAGGTGTGCGAAGTGGGAGCACAGATTCAACATCGAAAGATGCCTCGTTTAGGTGATCCAGTTATTACATTCTCAGATGAAGACATGAAAGATGTGCAGCAACCTCATGACGACCCTCTTGTCGTCACCATGATGATCGCTAACTATAATACTCGGCGAATCTTGGTAGATAATGGAAGTTCAGCTGATATCATTTTTCTTGATGCATTCAGCAAGATGAAGATTGGTAAGGAGAAACTCAGACCTACTAGATCACCATTGGTAGGATTCACGGGAGACAAAGTCTATCCTCTAGGAACAGTCATCCTTCATGTCACTGCAGGAACCAGCCCAAAGCAAGTCACTGTCATGGTCGACTTCTTGGTGGTGGATTGTCCATCTGCTTACAATGTCATCCTAGGAAGAGCGACCTTAAATTCGATGAGGGCTATCACTTCGACTTATCACCTATTAATGCGCTTCCCTACCGAGCATGGCGTGGGCGAACTAAGAGGAGATCAGTCCATTGCCAGAGAATGCTACGTTGCCTCTCTCAAAGAAAAGAGACAGCAGGAGGCTTTGATTGTTGATGAAGTTGAAGAGAATGAGCAAGACCGGGCTAAGCCAATCGAGGACTTGGTGGAGATATGCTTGAATGACACTGACATAACAAAAAAGGTGAAGATAGGGTCTCTGCTCCCCTCAGATTTCACAAATATTCTTATACAGTTCCTCAGACAGAATCAAGATGTATTCGCTTGGTCACATGAAGACATGCCCGGTATTAATCCAACTACGATTGAGCATCGATTAAACACAGATCCTACATTCAAACCTATCAGGCAAAAGCAAAGAACATTTGCCGCGGAAAGGAACATGGCTATATCAGAAGAGGTGAATAAGCTTATGAAAGCTGATTTCATCCAGGAGGTTCATTATCCCGACTGGTTGGCCAATGTTGTTTTGGTAAAAAAGGCCAATGGAAAATGGAGGTTGTGTGTAGACTTTACGGATTTAAATAAGGCGTACCCCAAAGACAGTTTCCCTCTACCAAGAATTGATATGTTGGTAGAAGGGACAGCTGGCCATGAGCTGCTCAGTTTTATGGATGCATACTCAGGGTATAACCAAATCTCAATGCACACGCCAGACAGAGATAAAACCTCTTTTATCACGGACAGAGGTTTATATTGCTATAAGGTGATGCCTTTTGGGCTAAAAAATGCTGGTGCAACATATCAGCGGCTAGTAAACCTGATGTTTAAGGACCAAATCGGAAGGAATATGGAAGTGTATGTGGATGACATGCTTGTAAAAAGCTTGAAAGCTCAAGACCATCTGGTTGATCTACAAGAAACGTTCCAAGTCCTCAGGAAACACCAGATGAAGCTCAACCCAAGTAAATGTGCCTTCGGAGTCTCCTCTGGGAAATTCCTCGGTTACATGGTAAGTAGAAGAGGGATAGAAGCTAACCCTGAGAAGGTCCAGGCGATTCTCAACATGCAGTCTCCAGCATCGACTAAGGAACTTCAAAGATTGACAGGAAGGATCGCAGCTCTGAACAGGTTGATTTCCAGGGCGACCGATAGGTGTTTGCCTTTTTTCCGTGTGCTCAGGAAAGCTTTTTCATGGACCCCTGAGTGCGAGCAAGCTTTTACAGAGCTAAAGGAGTATCTCACTTCACCACCATTATTGTCGCGGGCGATGCAAGGAGAACAGTTGTATTTGTACTTGGCAGTTTCTCCGTCGGCAGTAAGCTCAGCCTTGGTCCGCGAAGAGGATGGAAACCAGAAACCGGTATATTATATTAGTCGTGCATTCAAGGGGGCGGAAGAAAGATACCCAAGGATAGAAAAGTTGGCATTTGCTCTAGTTATCTCCGCGAGGAAACTCAGGCCTTACTTCCAAGCTCATACGATAATAGTATTGACGGACCAACCACTTAGGCAGGTTCTCCGCAAACCTGATACTTCAGGGCGACTCATGAAGTGGTCGGTAGAACTTGGAGAGTTCGATATCCAATATAAACCCCGAACGGCCTTAAAAGCCCAGGTACTGGCAGATGTTATAGCGGAATTCACACCAGAAGATGGGCCCGAGCATGCTGCAGATAAGCAGGAAGAAGCCGAATCTACTTGGACGTTATATGTGGATGGGTCTGTCAATGCCCGTGCAAGTGGGGCAGGGCTAGTAATTATCTTCCCAAATGGGGAATGCATCAAATATGCACTCAGGTTTGGTTTTAAAGCAACCAACAATGAGGCAGAGTATGAAGCCCTCCTAGCAGGCCTCAGGATGGCGAAAGCTTTGGAAGTTGAACGACTAGTAGCATATACTGACTCTCAACTAATAACTGGACAAGTCCAGGGGGAATATAAAGCCAAGGATGAGAAGATGAAGACCTATTTACATAAGATAGAGGATATCAAGGGCTTTTTAAAGAAGTTTTCTATTCACCGGATTCCCCGAGAAGAGAATGCGCAGGCAGACGCCCTGGCTCGATTGGCAACCACAGAGGAAGATAAAGCCATACCCGTGGGATATTTGGATGAGCCTAGCACGGTCTGGGATTGGCCACAGAAAATACACCAGGTGGCCCATGGCATGGAGTGGGCAGAACCCATTATCAGGTACATTGAGAACGAAGAGCTACCCCAGGACCGCATGGAAGCACGAAAGATTAGGATGCGTGCGGCAAAATATTCCCTCGTTGATGGGGTTCTCTACAAGAAGGGATTTTCTCTACCCTACTTGCGTTGTGTCTCCATTGATGAGGCAAATTACATTCTAAAGGACATACATGAAGGCCTTTGTGGAAATCATGCTGGGGGCAGATCACTAGCGCATAAAGCTATCCGACAAGGATACTTTTGGCCTACTATGAGGACAGATGCACTTGAGTTTGTGAAGAAATGTGACAAGTGTCAGAGATTCGCCAATGTCCCAAAACAACCAGCAGAAAAGTTAACCCCTCTTACAGGGCCGTGGCCTTTTGCCCAATGGGGGACAGACCTCATCGGCCCCTTACCCCAAGGGAAGGGATAAACTAAATACGTAATTGTGGCTATCGATTATTTCACCAAATGGGTAGAAGCTGAGCCATTAGCTCATCTTAGAGCGAATGAAGTAAAAAAGTTTTCTGGAAGACAATAATCTGCAGGTTCGGAGCACCAAGGGTAATTGTGACCGATAATGGGAAGCAGTTTGAAAGTGAGCAGTTCCTCGATTTTTGTAATGAACTTGGGATCAAAGTTCATTTCTCCTCTCCTGCCCATCCCCAAGCCAATGGGCAGGTTGAAGTCACGAATAGGACAATATTGAAGATGATCAAGACACGCCTAGAAAAGGCCAAGGGCTTGTGGCCTGAACAACTACCCGGAGTTTTATGAGCCTATCGCACTACCGTAAGAACCCCTACTGGGGAGACCCCTTTTGGGTTAGCTTTTGGAAGTGAAGCTGTGATCCCGGTAGAAACCAAGGTTGCTACCTTCAGAACCAAGTGTTTTGAACCTCAACAGAACGGAGTGGAACTACGATTAAACCTAGACTTGGTAGAAGAGAAAAGGGAGCAGGCCCAGGTCAAGGTTGCGGCTTACCAGCGGATGATATCCAAGTACTACAATGCCCGAGTCAAGCCAAGGAGGTTCGAGCCAGGAGACCTGGTGCTTCGTGAGGTTACCCCAGCTACTAAGGAAAAGGGGGAAGGAAAGTTAGCTCCCAATTGAGAGGGCCCTTATCGAGTAACCAAAAGCAACAGACCGGGGGCATACTGGTTAGAGTCACTTGGTGGGAGCCAGCTTCCCCACCCGTGGAATGCAGAACATTTGAGGAAATATTACCAGTAGGTACTCATGCCAGGCTGTGTTTTATTTTATTATCTCACTTTTAAAAGTGATAGAATGTTTTCAGCCACAATAAAGCAGACCAGTGTGTAACGGATGCTGATATTCAACTATCGATTATTATTTTCGATAGGTCTTTAATAAATGGTTATTCGTATTTATTGCACGTGTTTCTACTGAATTTTATAAGTCACATAAGGACTAGTGACACATTAAGTCCCCTTCTTTATTAAAAGAAGTAAGTGACTTTTCCTTACTAAAGGGACGAGCTGGGTGAAGCTCGTAAAAATATGTTCCTTCGAAAGAAGGACGGGCTGAGTGAAGCCTGGGAAAGTAAACAACAAGTATGGAACAATACCATGAAAGACAAAAGTAGAGCAACTATTCTCTGGATTCAAAGATATTCTGAAAAGTTTTAAAGGAACAACATACTGAGAAATCAAAAAACCTAATATATATATATATATATATATATATATATATATATATATATGACTAATACTATGGAATTCCATCTTCCTATTCGCTCTCACTTAGAACGTCATACCTAGAAAAGTCTATGTCTGGACGATCTTTGCCGACAAGAGCTTTGAACCGGTCAAAACCATCACAGCAAGCCTTGCCTATGAGCATCTTGAATTCATTAGAATTTTTAAAATTCTCCACAGCAGCTAGCTTCTCGAATTCCAGCTTATCAGAGTATTCTTTGGTAAGTTTCACTTTCTCATCTTGAAAGTTTAATTTTGCATTAGTCAAGTCATCTTCTTTTATTTTAAGTGTAGAAGTAACATCTTCATATTTAGCCTTGAGGGAAGCCATCTCTAAGGAAAGCTTCTCGTATTCTTTGGCGATAACAACAGAGTATGTAGTGCCCTATAAATAAATAAATAGTGGCGAACAGTTAAAAATAAATAAATAAATGAACGAAAAAAAAATAGATGCGCATAATAAGGGTAAAATCTCACCTGGCCGATTAGATGAAGAAATTTCTTTGAAAGCTCAGATGCTGGCAGACTCTGCAATCTGGCAGTGTTGTCTTTTACTTCCATTTTATGTAACCTGTCATTCGCGACATTAGCGTCATCGAGAATCGATTCCCCGTGGGAAAAGGCTTGGTTGGTTGATACTGAACAAAAACTTTCGAAACTAGTAGGAACCCCACCAAATCCGCTGAAACCTAGAGGTACAAGAGTAGGACCTGATAACACTCCTGGGCTTGCGGATGTACCATGATTCCCTTCTCCTACCCTTCGTAATTTTTTGGAAGCAGGAGTAGAAGGGAGATTACTTGACCGGACTTGGGCTAGGAGTCTTTTACTGAGCTTCTTGCCTGCATGAAAAGTAATAAAGGAAATACTTAATGAGATATTAACTAAAAATCAATAAGTTCACATATAAGTATGTTTGTTTTTCTTACCTTTCTCTAAGTGGGTGAAGGTTTCCTTTAAGCTATGAGCTCGTACATACAAATCTAAAGCCTCGTCAGTTATGAGATCGCTAAAGGTCTTTACTGGGTAAGAAGAGGCATTACCAACATGCTCGGCTTCTAGAATGGAGAGGGTTGGTTTGTCCTTAAATTCTGGGAAAAAGAATAATAAGTTGCACATAAAAAAAAAAAAAAAAAATTCTTATTCATGAACAGTACCCGAGGGTACTATTCACTTGGGTACAAAAAAAAAAAAAAAAAATTCCTATTCATGAACAGTACCCGAGGGTACTATTCCCTCGGGTGCAAAAAAAAAAAAAAAAAAAAAAAAAAAATTATTAATTTGGAAACTATATACAAATAAATCTTACCTGTTGGATCTGAATTATTCCATATAGTTGGAAATTTCCCGTATGCACCGGAAAAAAAGAAGAAACGACTCTTCCAACCTTTATTATTTTCAAGGGTTGCGACAAGGAGGAATGTCTTCTTTGATCTACACTGGAAGTACCAAAAATTGTCTTTTTTCTTCTTGGGATAATAAAAATGCAGGAATTGATTTACTGTTAGACGACCATTGCCACACTTTCCCCAAACAATCAAACAGCCTATAATAATTCTCCATGAATTAGGAGCAATTTGAGAAGGAGCTATCTTCAGATGAGAAAGAATTTCTTCTACAAATGGGTGAATCGGAAAACGCAAGCCCGCAGCAAAAGTCGACTCGAAAAAACATACCTCACCCAAACGAATAGAAGAACATCTATCTTCTGGTTTGGGTTTGTGAAGACGAATAGATGAAGGAATGGAATATTTAACTCTACAACTCTGTAAATTCTTATCATTCATTAAGGATTCTCCTTCACGAGGAGGTTGCTTGGAAAAAGCAGTCCTTGGTTTTGAGGAGTAATCAACACCAGATTCATCAGCATAGTCAGGATCGAGTTCTTCAACACTTTCAGAGGTTGAGTCCTCGGATTGAGATTCAGTATTCAAGTTATTTTCTGCACGAACATGATGAGGTATCGGATATCGCGAGAATAGCGAAACCACTTTGGAATTACACCAATAACCTGGTAGAGACAACTTGACCTAATTACGTATCTACAACGATCCACAATAAACTCACAGTTAGGATCCAGTTTGGAGGATTTCAGACCAAAAAGAAAAGGAAGGTAAATAAATAAATATATATTTATCTATTTATAGGAAAGAAAATTCTTTTTCAAGTAACAGTGAAGGTCTTGTAAAGGAGTCCTACTACAATATGGAAGGGGCCTGTAGTAAAAAGGAAACAAATGGAATATAGACAGTATTTCCTTGGTCCACCACGTACCCAGAAATAGGGGGCAACTGATAGGGAAAAATAACCCTAGCCTATCTTGACTTAACAAAAAAGGGAATTAAATATTGACCTGCCACCAGATTTCTCCAACTCTCAGACGATAATATCTCGTTATTAAGGATAACCATTCTATTAGATAAGAATGATGACAAATCGTATCTAGGATAGGATTTGTCATGGGATAAGTTCAAATCTTATTAAGGATAGGATTTCCATGAGGTAGGCTCCATGGGCTAAGGACGATGGAACTCCCTTATCAAGAATAAAGGAAGTGACTATAAAGACAAAGACGACTCAGAGATAAGGTACGCACAAAAAACTCCTACTAAGCAAATTACGATTAAAATTCTCTATCGAAAATCCTTGCTGACTTGATCGTCGGAGGGTCAACGGCCGGTACCACACCGGTGTTTGACTTTGCCATCCTTATTTTGTAGAAAACGGTATCGTACCAGACCGCGGCGAAATTCAACCTCAACATTACTTAAAGGTGATCGAGTTACATAAGCCATGGGTTACAAACACACATGACAAGACAGTACGTACAATTAATTTTCGGTGGCTAAAGCCTTTAAAAACTGATTGTACTAAAAACCATCTCTGGGCCCAAAAGCAATATTGTATGTTTCAACAATACAGGTAGTATACATGACACATTGACAACCTGGCCTTTTTCTGTACTGAAATGGATGTTGAAGGAACAGTGGTCCAGTTTCTTCTCCATTAATGCCTGTTTTATTAGACCTGAGTAGCAACGGCAGGTTCATTTGTTACGGGCTAGGGTTCATCACCGAAAAGTTGCACAAATAACCACCATTAACGGTTAATCAAGCTGTTAATTGTGGTTATTTGTTTTGTCAATTGTAAAAGCTTATTCCTTATTTATTTAAGCCAGGTGCTTAACCTAAAAAAGGAGGAAGAAGAAGAAGAAGAAGAAGAAGAAGTAGGCAATCCTCCCTTTGATTCTTTCTACCTTTTTTATTCCATTGAAATGATGTGTTTGTGTATTCCAAAACTCACACGTTTTAAAAATATATTAAAGGAGAGTTTTTTGAATTTTTTTTTTTTTGAAAGTTTAAGAAGATTTCTGTAAAAGAGCGATTTCAAAATGGTAACTTTTTTCATTATTAATGTGACCTAATGAACTTACCAGTATTTTAAACTGGTATCCTAATAGAGAGGGCTATTTGTCAAAAGGGGGAGAATACAATGGGGGTATAATACAAAATTGAAAGTTGAGGAGAGTTTTTTTTTTTTTTTTGTAACTAGAGGTATAGTTTAGTGTTCTTATTTTTTATTTTTGTAATTTATCTTATTAATTGTTGTGATAATCGCATAAATTTATTAGACTACAATATTATCTTGGAAAAAATGTGGTGTTTTTTTGGGGGAAAAAAGAAAGCCGTTTTATTTTGAGCCATTATATATCAAAAGAAACAAAACTAACTCCCGAATTATTAATGTTTACTTGATGTTTCAATGTTTATTTAAAGCACATATCATCATCCTATCTTTCTCACTCTCTCAAATTATTTTTGTTTTTGTTTCTATAACATTACCATCAGTAACAATTATGTCACTTTACCCATGTCATGTCATATAAGTTGATTTTTAAAAGGTAAAGTGCGAAAATAAAAAATACTTTTATTATATAAAAAGAATGTGTAAAAAATATTCATTCTATTTAGTATCATATAAATTCTTAATATTTTAAAATATGTGTAAATTGTTTAATTTTAGTAGGTTTTTTTGCACAAATAATTGATTGTCACCCATCCTACAAACCTGATATGCTATTGATTCATCAAATAATTTGGAAACTGCATACATTTTTATTCAATGGGGAACTTTCTAGCAAAAATTGATTTTATGATTAAATAGTCCTATTAAATGAATGGTAATAAAAATTAACAGCAAACAATGATAAACAAATCTTATACAATGAACAAATTATGGGTTTCTGAAGTGGAAAATTTATACAATTTGTCCTCATAATGCACAACATAGCATGTTCTTCCAATCTTTTAACTTCTGGATGCAAAAGAATGCCCACCTTTCTAAAGTGGGCTCACTCGTCGTCGACCAACTCGCCAGAACTCTTTGGATTGGTCCATGATGGCGCATCGATTTTAGAAAGAGAGAGGGTGAGAGGAAGCAGACCCACTTAAAGAGGGTATTTTTGTTATTTTAAAATTGTAATTATTAACTTTTTATTTAATATTAAATCATCAGGTTAAGTATGGAACAACTTGATTTTTTTTTTGGTTGAGGGAAGTGTTTAATTTTAATAAGATTTTTTTACTCAAATTTCAAAGTAGAGGGGGTTATGTAATTTTATCCCTAAAATCAGGAGTGAAGGTCATCGGAGTTCGAAGATTACCGATTTACCCTCTATTTATTTTATAGATTTATTATATGTTGTTGATGATGTGTCAAATGTAATCTCAATACCCAATATGTTAGTCGCTAAATGTTATGCATTTTAGTCCCTTAACTTGCATGTTTTATTGTTAGTAGTAATTTATTTGTGATTTTATATTTTTATTTATTTCAGGACTGTAATTATAAAATTAGTTCAGACCAGTGATTCCAAGCAATGTTGAAGATTCAAGTCTAATTATACTTAGAAAAGAGTCCAAGAGAAGTCACAAGTTGATGAGAATGGAAAGAAAAAGAAAAGGAAGAATCCTTCTCCAACTAGGAGGATACTTTCTCCAAAGTTTGTAACTTGAACTCGTTTTGATAATCTGTCTGTATCTCTCTCCTCGACTGTCAAAATAGCTAAATTGGGTTAAAAGGAAATTCGAAGAACTACAATTTTGTATTTAATAAGGATTTCATAAAACAGCTGTTTACCTTGTCAAAACTGAGTGAAAGTCTGTACGAATTTTAGAGTCCTTGTTTAACAGAATTTCCTTATATGTCTTTTATATGGCAAAAGGGAACTTTGGGACTGATCTTTTCTTATTTAAAGAGAGTTCTCTACATCATTAGAGCATCATACAGAGGAGCTTGAGACTAAAATTAGAGGAGAAGCATTCAGAAGAAAGAATGGATCAATCCGTGGCGGCGAAGATGTCTTACTTAACCACGAAGAATTCCATTTCAGTCATGCTTGGTTAAACGCTTTGCTAGGGTTGTGATGTAGTCCTAGCTTAGCACCACTAGTTTGATTGTATTTATTTATTGGAGAACAATTATTATTCATGCATGATTGTGTAACCTAAGGATCTTTAATTGACTTTTCAATAATAATCGGTTTTAAAATTTTAATTCAATTACAAAGTGTTTTTCTATCTTGTCTTAGATATTTGAATCTTGTGATTGAACACAACTCATTCACTTCTTGTAGTTGTAAATGAAATGGTTACACAATGGTTTTTCTCTAAATATAATGTTAAAGATTTGATGGATTATGCCTAGAAAAGATAGACCATACTATACCATAGAATAAAGTAGTTAGGTAGATGGTTTATGCCAATCGAAGATAGTCTATGCTTTGCTTTAATTTATATTATCTTCTAGCTGAATTAATATGTGCTTGTAGTCATGATTAATTCCTTATGCATGTTATATATATATCTCCAATAAATTGATGTAATTGATTGGTGGTGCGACATTAGTGGTGAAGTCATGTCCCTAGTTCTCTCTCTGATTTTCTACATCTTGTTTAATTATTGTTCTTTATTTTATTTTTCTACTTAGTTCATCTAGAATAAATCATCAAAATTTGGTTATCTTATTTTCAAGTTAATTTAGAATTTGAAAAATCTGTTAACAAACTTCATTAACATAAGTCCCTTCAATACGACACCCTTACAAGTAAGCCTCATCTGCAAAGATTCGTGCACTTTGCGAGTGGTACATATAAATCTTACAACAAGTTTTTGGCGCCATTGCCGGGAACTTGTTTTAGTTCTTGACAGATTATATTAAATTTTATAATTAATTTCAATTAGGATCTTAGTTTAGGATTTTATTTTATTTTATTTTGATTCTATTGACTATTTCAGGTGACAGTACATGTTTGGAAGATGTTCTTTGTCACTCTCTAAGATTCCATTAGACCCAGAAATCGAAAGGACTCTCAGACACTTGAAGAAAGATTTTGGAGGCCTTGAAAAGGAAATGATGGCGGATGATGGAGAGAACAACAGGGCTGTTGCAAGAGTGGTTCGCCGATTAATATATCACTATGATCCGGGTGTATATAACTCTTCATCTGCAGTTTGATATACTGAAGTGAGGACTACGAAATTAAGGTCAGTACTCTTTAGTTATTGCCTTTTTTTTACAGCCTATCAAAAGAGGATCCATACCGGCATTTGGATGACTTTGCAGAGGTGTGCAGAACAATAAAGATCCAGAGCTTTGACGATGTTCAACTGGTTCAATTCCTTGATAGCGAACTCCATCACTACCTAGGCAAAATTGAGACAAATTTTTTTGAACAAGTACTTCCTCATGGTGAGAAATACTCAATATCGCGATGCCATTACCTGTTTTGCTCAATAGCTTGACGAGCCTTTTCATGAGGCTTGGGATAGATTTAGAGACCTCCTTTGGAAGTGTCCTCGTCACGACATGCCAAAATGGCAACTTGTCAACTTCTTTCATAGGAGGCTCAATGAGGCACAAAAGTATATGGTGGATGCATTGTGTGATAAAAATTTTATGTTGAAGAGTGAAGAGGAGGCATGGCAACTCTTCAAAAATATTTATATAAGCATATTTCAAGAAAATGTAATATGAAAATTTTAATTTATTGAGTATATGACATTAACAAATTACGTTCTTCAATCAAGTTAACGATTAAAAAGGGAGATTTAGGGGAGGCAAGTGTAATTTCAAAAATTATAAAAAAGATTACTATAATTATGATAAATTATGGGAGGGAGAGATTCGCATAATTTATCCTAATGTATAATTAAAATAAAATTCAAATTCAAATACAAATTGATTTAGGTTGCTGCAACTTTATTCCCCTAGTTGAGTTGGAATTGAGTTTTTGAAAGAAAATCCAATAATTCCTATTGATAAAAGTAATTGCATAAATTGGTAAAAAAATTCAGGCTCGGGTCAGCGTTTGCCATCCCAAACTGTACTCGTATGACACGCGATTTTTTTTTTTACATATCTTTAATATTTTGTTATTGTATTATCAATTGTCCATTTAGATAACAAAAAGTACTTTAATGAGTCCTAAGTCCTAACATGACAATATTTAATTGACTCCGTGATTAATTTTTGCACTGTATTTATTTATTTATTTATTTAACCGTGTGGTAAACACGTCCGGTAAACACTTCCTTTGCCGCAAACTCGGCGATCTGTGACCACTCTGGAGGGATCTCATCGGCGACGGCGATCGGATAGGTACACATATTCTCTCTTTCATATTTCTCTTTCTTCTCCTCCTCTTCTTCAAATTGAAAACCCTTATTAACATTTTGCACTCTTCACTCAAACTCTAATTCTTCCTTTCTTTTCTTTTTTCGTTCTTCTTTTTCTTCAAATTTCTTTCATTCCCTTCAAAAAAATTGAAATGCCATCTTCAATTATACCCCTAAACCCTAAATCTCCTTCAACGTTCTCTGATTCAATTTTTTTTTTTTTTTCTCTCTCTTCTTCAAATTTCTTCTTCTTGTACTCATGTATGGGCGGTAAACTTCTCTCTCCTCCTCTTCTTCTTCTTCTTTAAATTTATTACTGCTATTTATGAACTTTTTTATTATATGTTTCTATGTATATATATATATATATATATATATATATATATATATATATATTCTTAATCTGTACTCACACACATGCCTCTACTAAAACCATGATCTTTCTTTAAGATGTAGGGGATTGGTACCACTAAGCCACTGAGGTGTTGATTATGTTTCTAAATTTTCTTTACTGCAAATTTTAGTGACATGCCGTTCAATTACTGCACTAATATTCTCCAACTACTAAACCAAAATTCATGCAAACAAAATAAAGTCATGTTGAAATTTACTAAAGCATGGATTTAGGTTCTGGAAGTTGTTTCTTTTTTTTTTTTTTTTTTTTTTTTTTTTTTTTTTTTTTTTTTTTGTATTTAGGTTCTGGAAGTTGAAATCAGATTAGAATCAAATGGCTTAAACAATGCATGAAATAGGCTTAAACTAACAAGCAAATAATTTTAACTCACAATGGGGTGGCTACACGTGGAGGACCATTTGTGCTTCGTTTGGTTGGAAGGATGGAAAAATGGATGGAAGAGATAGGAGGAGGGATGAATGAGATATCCCTAAGGAAGGGAGGGTGTCTTTCCCATTTTATGTTTGGTTGAATGGAATGAATAGTAGAAAGAATAAATGGAGTGATACTTTTTTCTTGTTTGGTTGGAAGGAAGGGAAGGAGAGTTCTTATATTATTTTTACCAATATACCCTTTTATATAAAATTATAAAAGTTAGATATTTATTTCAAAATTTTTGAAAAGGTTAAATTTGTAAATTGTCGATTCATAGGTAGTTATGCCTTCTTTCTTTCCCCCCCTTCCCCTCAAAAGTGGGCAGATAGAAAAACATAAAGGAAGGAGGGATGAAGCATCTCTCGTTGTTTCCTCCCTCTCTTCCCTTCCCTCCAACCAAACACGAAAATATTTATCCATCCCTCCTCTCATCCATCCCCCCGCAATCCTTCCCTCCAACCAAACATAGCATTGGTGTTCTAAGGCCCCCCTCAAGGTGGCCTTTGTTGCCTGGACTTCAGCGTTGGGAAATATCTTGACCTGGGATAATTTTAGGTGGAAGAGAAAGGTTGTGGTCAATTGTTGCTGAACGTGCAAGAGAGATGAGGAAAGGGTTGACCACCTTCTTTTGCACTCCAGTGGGTTTTGTTGTTTGGCTTGTTTGGGATTCGGTGGGTTATGTCTAAGTCTCCCAGAGGCTTGGTGGAAGCTTGGAGAGGTTGTATAGTGGGTTCTAGGCCCAAGTCCATGATTTTTGAAGGGTTACGCCTTTGTGCATCTGGTGGTGGTTATGGTTTCAAAGAAATAGGAGATCCTTTAAAGGGAAGGAAACTCCTATCGGTGCATTGAAATTATCCATTATTAACACTCTTTTTTGTTGGGTTCTAGGCCCAAGTCTATGATTTTTGAAGGATTACGCCTTTGTGCATCTAGTGGTGGTTATGGTTTCAAATAAATAGGAGATCCTTTGAAGGGAAGGAAACTACTATTGGTGCGTTGAAGTTCTCCATTATTAACACTCTTTTTTTTTGGGTTCTAATGAGAAATTGTCAATCCATGGAGAAAATAAATGATTTTTTTGGACTCTTTGAGAGCTTAGAGGTCCTAGTTGGCCTTGTGTAGCTTTTGAGGGATGCGTTCCCCTTTTGACCCTTCTTTTATACAATCTTATAAAAAAAATACTACTTGTGACGGCTCGAATTTCAAAGAACCCGATGCATCAACGAGTAACCCGTAAACTGACCCGATAACAAGTCCAAAATGCAGAAGCGAAAAAAAAAGGAAGAGGTCACTAGAGGTAAACAACACCTCTAGGACGACATGAGAACCGTATAAGAAGTCACAAGACTCATCTCAAAGGTGAAAGCGGAAGCAAACGTCAAAACGGGCAAAACTCGTCAACCAAGGGAAAAATGGTCATTTCATAGGTAAAAAGAGAATTTTGACTCTGAACAATCCAAATGGGGTCATTCTTGAGGCTATCTTTTAGGATATCCTTTTTTTTTTTTTTAATATATATATATATATATATATATATATATATATATAGTGGCAAATTAGGGGGTGGGGGGACTCGAACACGGGCACATCCGCTCGGGGAGCTGGGCGCTCTACCAACTAGGCCACTAAGTAATGTCCCAAAAAAAATCCTTTCAAACTCCTCTAATGTTGCCTAATCAGTTTTAAAAAACGACTCTCAAGTTCTTTCTAGGGTCCTGTTGTCCACTCACTGAAAAAATGAAATCTGAAAACTGAGGGGCCAAATGGGAGCTCAGGTTCCGTGCAACATCTTAGGAGTACCATGTGGCGCCCAATGGCCTAAACAATACCTTATGTGGTGCTATGTGACACTTGATGAACTGTTATAGGGCATTGTGTTTTCTCGTTGTTTGTTTGTGTTTGAAACTTCAAATTATGTTCTTTTTCTTTTTCTTTTCCTTTTTTTGATAAGCAAGTATTTTTTTTTTTTTTTTTAAATTCTTAGATGCACCCTGATACTTAATTCCAAATTATCCTTTAGGTCGTCAAAATTTTTCCTATGGGGTAATGAAAATATGACCTTTTAGGGGCTTTGGTCATTTTGTTTAAGGTGGTCAATGGTTAAAGATGTAAATCTAGGGAATTAGTTATAAGTCATACTAAATCCTCTCAACTTATTAGGAACCAAATACTTAATCAAGCTAGAGGCACCTCCAGATTGCCTGATAGAGCCAACATCGAGTTGTTCTTTACGACTCATTGAAAACTCTAAGATAGGCCCAAGCCCCAAGTCTTAACAATTTGTACAAAATGGGTTGTCTACACATGGTAACAAGACACACTAAATCTAAATCTAAGTCCTCCCCCAACTTTGTAGATGAATGAAGCTTGTTTTTTTGGGTTAGATTAGGCGATATTAATTCAAATTTTATAGGGTTACAGAACGGTATCTCAAAGTGATTGATGAGTTTGACATTCATATTAGAAAACTTTTGGTAATCATTTTCCCACCAATAGTGTAAAACATGAATGATGCCGCAAATTCTTTAGAAGATGGCATCCATGACGGAGTTTCTTACACCAAGGGAGTCGTGCTTTTGTTTTTGCAATTTTTTATTTTTTATTTTGGGTTTATTTATAAAGAAAAATATTGAAATTTGAGTATGTAGGCCTCTACAGCAGGAAGATTGCAAGTAAAATATTGGTCTAGATTCATTTATTATACCTGTTTTTTGTGGATAACTCTGATTTGAACATGATATTTGGGCTATGGAAAGATTCTATAATAATCACTAGAGGAAGTACTTGGATAAGATAACAAAATTTTGGTTTCTTATCATCGAAAATTAATTAGCACATCTTGTCACTGGTGCTGCACCATCACAAAATGTGTTGGGAAACGTGCAAGTTTTAAAAACTTTTCGAGGGATTTTGATTCATAGATCTTGATTCATCACATAGAGACAAGTTTTATACAAAAATAAAAATATGATGTATCATTCAATTAATGGATTGAATACTTACATCAAAGGTCTGAGTAAACCTTTAAAACTTTCCTCTAAAGTGAATGTTCTCACTTATTGTAGATCTCTTAGCAAGATGCCTTCTTCTTGAATCTCCATCTTCTTGGTAATTGTTTTGCCTTTAGGAATCACTCATAAGCCTCCATGAATGACCTTGGAAAACTAGGCTTGTGGGAGCCTCCATTAGATGAGAACATAAACCCTAATTTTCTAGAGAGAGAAAATTTATTCCTTTTTTTCTTTTCATAAAAATCACCCTAAAATATACATAGACCATGTATATTTATAGACAACATAAAAATAAAGAAAAGGAAACAACAAATCCTTCTCCATCTCTAATTCATATGTCTCAAATCTAATATGATTCCAATATCAAGTTGGGCTATGAGTGAGAATCCATTGGGCCTATTATTTTATTGGCTACAATGAATTAATAATTGGCCCGGTCCATGGACCCAATTTCAATTAATTCATAAATTAATTTCTACTCCACTAAAAGAAATTAATTGAACTCTAATTAAATAATAAATAACCTCTAAGTCAATATTGCACTTTGACCCCTCTATGCATAATTAGTTATCGGATAAATAAAGCCATCAATCCGACTACTTAATTAATATATCTATTTTGGTACCTCTGATTATTTCTGGCTCGATCACAATAAAACATTTGTTTGACAAAAATAATAATTTAATAAATAAATATATAATAAATCATTTTGTCTAAAATCATACGAAGGCCTTCGAATTTACTTTGTGATCAACCATAATCAATACAAAATAAATACAAGTAGCAATGATGCAAATATTGAAAATATAACCCTCTAACTATTAATTACATAACTACCCGAAGTGTCGGTCTAAGGATCCCGAAGAATCCGCCGAACAAATCAAAGTAATTATTAATTAATAAAAGAGTCTATACTTTTCTCATGCTTAAGAGTCAAATGCCATGACGGTGATAGGGAGTAATTGCATACGACGGCTCTCGCAATATATCTCAACCTAACGCGGATCCAGTTCAAGTCTTAATTAATTATGAGTCCATCCATAATTACCGACTATGAACAATTTATAATTACTATTTATATATCATGCATTGATTGCCATCACATACATATATATAAATATTTCTTGTAATTACATGGACACTATCAATTTCATAGTGAATCGAAACATAATACATTGAATTCACCAATTGTATAAAACATAAATATTTCAGAAACGTCAGGAACATATGTCAATTAATCCAAACAGAAATTTGCTATGCTAGGGCATATAAATCCCAACAAAATGTTGGTGTTCAATTCTTATGGTTTAGAACCTCGTTTTAATAAAATGCAAGTTGTTTTATTTCCTAAAGTATATAATTTTACTCTTTTCTTTCAATAAGATAATTGGACTTAGTATCCTCTCTCTCTCTCTCTCTCTCTCTCTCTCTCTCACACACACACACACACTTATGGATGCATATTTAAGATTTGAAATATTAGGCTTACCGCATACGAGTTGGAAAGTTAGGGTCAGGGTGGGAGAGAAATGTAGCATTGTTAGAAATTGTCCTTAGTGCAAATTGGATTTAATTTAGATTTGGATATAATATTGACATTTGTGCCATACTCTGAGCCTCCGATGGATAGCTCATAGTCAATAACCCATAACATGTCGGTTTTTGTCGCCACAGAGTTGGTTTTGATGGGATTATGATTTAAATGACCCCATTGATAAGCAATTTTACTGTAGCATTCAGTTGATGAGCACAGCCTATGAATCTCTTGTTAAAGAAGCCTTTATTTTATTGCACAGGTAATTGCTGCTAAAACAAATGGAAGGTTGGTTTGATGAGATTTTTTTTTTCCTTGTTGGTTTTGATGAGATTGTGATTTAGATAATGATAACTTTTTGACATAGGATAAGTCTGCATTTGTGCAGGATTTCGCCATTTAGCTAGACGAGATCAGTTACAAATTAATATTTCAACAGAGACATTATTATACTGGAGAATTGAATATTCCTTTTTCAATTGTTTGTCGATAGTTTTCTAATTCTATTCTGATTTCTGATCAATATTCTATATTGCTCTTATGATGTTAGGTCGGAACAACTTACTTGAGAATGATTTTAAGCGGATGCTCCCCGTTCTCTGGGAGTGTTTTTATGAATTATAGGAAATGTAACTCCAGGTCTTACTACTCAGCTTCTGTGAGTGTCTCTTGTTTGCCTGCCAAAGTTCCATCCTCTACCATTTGGAATTCGTCGAGATCTCGTCAAGAATTAAAATCGTTATCTTTTGGAGGTATGTAAATGTACTTGTCAAGTTGGTTTTTTTAATGTATAAGATTCATTTAAACTTCGTTTGGTATATTAGGGAAAAGAAAATTATATTCTAGTAAGTGTTTTGATATGGCCTAGAAATAGATTTTGGCTCAAGAAGTTTTTGTCTTGTGGACAAATAAGTTACATGATTCTACATTAAGAAAAAGGTTGGTTGTTCATGCCTTATTTATGTAATTATATTTTGTTATATTGAGTTTTTATTCTAAGTTCCTCAACATTATATGTTATTTTTGGCCCAACCTTTTCTGGAAATGGCTTTGAAGCTTCAACAGAAATTTGAAACCTACGACCTTGGAGCAACATCTGAGAGACTTGACCACGAGATGGTTCCTTCCACTTTAATGTCAATTGTGTACCAGAACCAATAAGCCTTAATGCTATCCATCAAGAATAGGACTGTTTGCGAGGGTTGATAGCCTTATTTCAAACAAATATCTTATACTATTCACGTATCTCAATGATATTGCATATTGTTAACTGATCAGGATGCACACATCATTTTTTATCTTATGTCAAAGTAAACCGAATTGTGAAGTGTATCTATTGACATTACATTGGATATAGGATGTTTTGCTATTAAAAAATGTCCTTCACTTCGTTTTCTTTTTCTTTCTTTCATTTTTCTATTTTGGCTGCTTCAAAAGAGATTAATAAATGAATTTCCTGTTTTGGGCCTCATGTCAAATGGATTAAATTCTTCATATAGGCTGTTCTTCTTTTTAACAAGAATATGCTAATCATTCTTCATTTAGATAAAGCTAAATTTTGATAGCAACTTGAAGATTGTATGTCGTGTTGGTATTCCTTATTCTTTGTTCTCTCTCTCTCTATATATGTGTGTGTGTGTGTGTGTGTGTGTGTGTGTCCTTATGCAGGACCAGCACTCTACATATTTCTGCTGCGTCAACGCCATTTTTAACTGGTGATCAAGGTGGCTTGTCAGATAGAATACCCATGCTAACAAGGCGGCAGAGATTTTTTATTTCCCCAAGAGCCTCAAAGAATGTCCCTTACAGTTTCCAGGACCCTGTCAAGAAGCCACGATGGTGGTGGAGGACTTTAGCCTGCCTATCCTATTTTAAGCCCCTCCGCGAGCCATGGACGTTTGCTAAAACAGCATATCATCTCCACCCGTTCTCAGAGGAAAAATGCTTGACATACCCTTTCAGGTTAGCTCATGGTAGATTGCCGTGGTGGTGGTTCGGAATGGCATATATCTTTATTGTATATCTTGGAGCGGTGAAGAAGGAATGGCCCCACTTCTATATGTTTCATAATATGATGGCCATGCTATTGCCGATTCCCTTGCAGATGATGTTGATTGTAAGCATTTGGATGCCACTCACTGTATATTTGGGTAAGGTTGGCATGCATTTTTGGACTGCTTTTACATTTGTTTACCTTTTCACGGTTCTGGTGTGTATGAGGTGCGCTCTTGCTGGGAAGCATGCCGATGCCCCATTTTTCTGTGATGCAGCATATATTCTGTCCTTGTATAGGAGGGGCAAATGATTATTGTGTTTTCTTTTTGTAGGGTATGTTGGTGACTTCTTTAGTTTTAAATTTGTTCATTTTAATGCTTTATTGCTCATTGATATTGGCTGTATAAAAACCATCATTTGGAATTTTTAAGACTTTGGAGTAGGAGCTGCTGTATAGGCATTGTGTTGTGTCTTTAAATTCCTTTTCTCTGATCCTATTGTATGTGTGCGTGTATGGGTAATGGATTTCAGGTGGTAAGCTTTTGGCTTGAACTTGAATGACTAATGGCGGCTTTTGCTTTGTACTTTTGTTTTGACCCGAAACAGAAGCAACGTTTTTACTTTAGAGTATGTTCAAAATTATTCAAAAACGTGTTTGGTAACGTTATATTTGTTGCAAGATTTTTAGAAGCAAAAATATGAAAACATATTTGTTAAAAAAGTTATTCATTGTTATAGTGCTTTTGCTACTGTGCAGAAACAACTGGGAGCACCAAATTGTTTTGGCCTCTTTTTCGAGAATGTTTCGATACTATTCTAATCGCAGCAAAAGTTACCAAACACGTTTTCTGGTTTTGCGTCGTTATTACACTATCCGGAGCGAAAAATACAAAGCAGAAATGATTGCCAAACACGGCCTTTATGTCTGTAACATTGCTTCATGGAACTTGAAATACAACTACAGCATACTAACCACTAAATAACACAAAATGAATGACATGAAAATATTCATGGTTACAATCCACGGGGATAATTCAAACGTCATACACTTGCTTGCCACTGAACTTGACCTCAATCGGGTTCACATTCTTGCCAATGGATCTCAGATTCAACCTGACCCCTTGACGGCCAGGGTTCACCTTCTCGGGGTACACCCCATCCTTGGGATGCAAGTATTGGACCTCCCCATTAGGGAAGACCCTATAAAATTGGTACGTAATCTTGTACTTGGACCTTAGTCTAGTACCAAGTGCCAAGCACTGTTCTTTTCTAGCCAGTTTGAGCAGGTTAGGACCTTGTCTCATTATGGCTGCACCACCAGTGGGCATTTCAAATATTTGTTCCTTGGGGGATTCCCAAGTGATCACATAAAATTCTTCAACTTGGGCCTTTCTTAGTAGCCCACCAGTGCTGCCACCAAAAATTGGTGAAGGGGTGGTTGGGTCCAATTCAGGTGTTGTGAACCCCACTGGCGCCTCTTTTGTGGCTGCTTCCTCCGCCGCGGCCTTAACGGTCGTTCGTGACGGCGCCATCGGGAATTTGAGCGTTTTGGGTGTGGTGAATGAGATGAGTGATGATTGTTTCCATGGAGCGACCGCACAGTCGCCTGATTTTGGGGTGGAGAGAGTTGGGGTGAAGAGAGAAGCTTGGGTTGCCATGGCCATCAATAGAGAAAGAGAGAGAGAAAGAGAAGGAGGAGGAGGTTGAAACAATGGTGGTAATAGTTTAAATTTTGTGTCGAAGGAGCAATGTCACGGGAACGTTTTGAATGGGTGGGTATTGGATAAGGTGATATACTGATATGTCTTGGACCAATTAGAATGTCACTTTTGATACGTAGTAGTTACATTATGTCACGACTTGTTTGTTCTTTATGGGTTTCCTTTTCGTTATTTATTAATTTATTTATTATTACTATTATTATTATTTTTGTTGAATAAGAGAAGAACTAATGTGTATAATTTTTGGGACACGAGTAAATAAAATAATATAAAATATTACATAAAGATAAAATAAATTAAAATAAAATAAAATCATATATTCTATAGCCATAATCATTCTCTAATTATAAAACTAAAATGTAAAACATTCTCGTGAATATATTATGCCAAAGAAGTAAATCTTCACGTGAATTTGGGAAATTCATTGTATTCTTAACTTCGGCTAAATCTGAAAATTAATAAGGTGAACACAATGGGCCAGTAAGAAAAGAACTCTAAATTCGTATATAATGAGAAAAAACTCTAAAAGAAGTTGACCAGATGGATAAGGTGATGAGGTGATAAATACCGTTAGCAACATAAATTCAAAAAGTAGTTTTGATGTAATAAATATGAAATTCAAATTATCGACAAAGGCTCTCCTTGAAGATTGCAACAAACTCCCAGCTCAGTTTACTATAAAAGCAAACTCCTATCAACCAATGAGGTACGGGCAATATTGAACTCCACTTCATTAATTGCTTAATTTATTTTTTCTGTAAGCTGGCCTAACCATCGGAGGTTGTTTGGTAGGCACCACACCGATGTCAAGAGAAAACGTTGTCGTTTCGGATTGTTGTAGACTAATTTTCATTAGTTGGCGCCGTCTATAAGAACTGAGGTAGTTCTCTTTAAAAACGATTATGGTCTTACGATCTGGATTGGAGCGCGGTAAGGGAACATCGTTGCAGGCCTCTGGTCAGGAAGAAATGTAGGGGGAACCCCCTTACGTCCCAAATGACCTAGAGCGCGTCGCAGCGTTGGAACAAGAAGTTCAAACCCCGAGTCAAACCCTGAATCAGGGAATGAATGAGCTGATCCGGCAAAATGCAATAATCCTATAACGTTTTGTTCCCCTAGGTCCCCCTCTAGGGCAAGGTCATCACCATAACGAAATCCCACCTCAAGATCATCCCAACCTAAATGCTGAGGAGGGAAATCGTGAAGTGCAAGGTAACGAGCCTTCCCATGAGGAGGCTCTTGCAGAACATAGCCAAATTGCTGATCAACATAGAGAAGCGGGTCACCCATCTCCCCCACGTAGCTCTAGACCATTAGCCTCGACCTACGTTGGTGAAAAGACTGAGGAGGTCACCCACATCGACCTACAGATCCAGAACCTCAAAGCCAAGATAGAAGATGTGATGCAAGCTATGAAGGGAAAAGGCTCTGCTACCACCTAGACGACCTTGTTCAAAAACCAAATTTGCCTTTTAGCCTGACTATCATGAAATGCCAATTGCCTAGCAAGTTCAAAATGCCAACATTTGAGAGCTTTGATGGGACTCATGATCCTCTTGATCACCTGGAGACTTTCCAGGCACTTATGCATCTCCAAGCTGTACCAGACTAGATAATGTGTCGGGCCTTTCCTACTACTCTCAAAGGGTCAGCATGGGTATGGTTTAATAAATTAAAACCAGGCTCGATCGAGACCTTTGCAGAGTTGAGCAAGGGATTTGTAAGTCATTTCATTCCAGGTCAAAGGCACAGAAGGCCAGCCACTCACTTGCTCACCGTGAAATAATAGAAAGGAGAACCATTGCGAGAGTATATCAAACGGTTTAACACCAAAATGCTGCAGGTAAATGAAGCCGATGACAAGGTAGCACTCACCGCCTTCATGGGAGGACTGCATAAATCTAGATTCATTTTTTCCTTGTCAAAGGAACCTCTAACCAGTATGGTAGAATTATTGGTCAGAGCCAGGAAACATATGAATGCGAGGATACGATGAATGCGCGAGAGGGGAAAAAAGGATAAGATAAGAAGGCGAATAAAAAAAGATCACAGCCTGGTGCTAAGGACGAGAAGGAGACCAAATTTAAAAAGTCTTCAATCAATCAAAGTGAGAGGACATCTCGTTACAAGAGCTCAGATAAGTACACCAACTACACCCTGCTCAATATGCCTATAGATCAGGTTTTAATGCAGATTCAGGATGATCCCTCCCTAAAATGGCCTTCGAAGTTGAAATCTGATCCCTCAAGAAGGCCTCGGGACAAATATTGCAGGTTCCACAGGGATCATGGGCATACCACGGAGGATTGTATCGACCTAAAAGATCAGATTAAGAATTTGATTCGAAAGGGTCACTTGCAAAGGTTTATGGCAGTAGATGATAGACGAGGTACTAATCCCGCACAAGGAAGGCGGACAATTGTCCTCCAAAACAACAACCAGTAGGTGAGATCAGAGTCACATTTGGAGGGTATGCAGGAAGAGGTGAAACAGCCACAAAAAATATATGCAAGAAGAACAAGAACAGAAGTGAATGAGGTGGGAATGTTCAACCCTTCGTTAAAAACACTCAGGTATGGTGACACTACCATTATATTTTCAGAGGCCGATGCCAAAGGGATACAACAACCCCACGATGATCCTCTGGTTGTCTCAATGGTCGTAGCTAACTACATCATAAGGCTTATACTTATTGACAATGGGAGTTCCGCTAATATAATATTTTCCCATATATTCGACCAAATGATGATAGGCCGGGAAAGGTTACGACCCATGAAATCTCATCTCGTGGGGTTTTCAGGAGATAAGGTATATCCACCAGGAGTAGTTACCCTTCTAGTGACTACAGGAACCAGCCCAAAGCATATCACTTTTATGGTTGATTTTGTAGTGGTGGATTCCCCTTCAGCGTATAATGTTATCCTTGCGAGGACAATCCTAAACTCTATTAGGGCCATTACCTTAACTTATCACCTCCTTATGCATTTCCCAACAGAGCATGGGATAGGTGAGTTGAGGGGTGACCAAGCCACAACTCGTGAATGCTATCTCACTTTTCTCAGAGAAAAAATGTCCCAAGAAACTCTGATAATTGAATGGGTAGAAGTAAAAGACCGAGATGAGGTAAAAAAAGCAGGAAGTTCGACGAGCCAAACCAATGGAAGACCTACTGGAGGTGAGCTTGAATGATGAGGCTAAGAAGAAAGTGAGAATAGGATCCTTACTTCGACCTGGCATAAAGGGTGAACTCATTCAATTTCTCAAGCAAAACCAGGATGTGTTCACTTGGACTCATGGTAAAAGGGAGATCATTTGATTCCCGAGCTTGATCAAGAATTTTCTTGTTGAATTTCTTTAACATACCTAAAAAAAAAAAAAAAAGGTACTTTAAAATAAATATACAATTAATAAATTTATAAATAGGAGAAAGGCGAGATCACCTGCCTTGCTCAAACTGAGTGAGGTATAGCCTTGTTTGCTAAAAAGTAAGGCTTACCTGCCACTGTAATTGCTTTATATTAAAATTGTTGCTCAATTTGCAAGTACTGCTCGAGTAGGACTCAATCAACAAGCCTTATTGGAGCAATAACACCAAAATTAGTCTCCTATGGATCTCAGACTCTATTTTTCCTTGTTTGTATGTTATGTACTTAATATATATTTACTCATCCATACAACCCACCTGACAACTAATGAAATATGTATTTGTGATATATATATATATATATATATATATATATATATATATTAAAGAGTTGGATTCCTTTGATAGCCTGTATACATAAATATATTGTTACATATAAGAATTGATAATGCAATGTACGTACACATGGTACATAGGTGCACTGAAAGACTATCTTTTGAAACCCTTTCTTTAATAATAATAAAAAAAATAAAAATAGTAACAAGAGTCTGAGCTCTCTAAATAAAAATTTAGTAAAAATTTGGCTCTGCCTTACTGAAATGAATAAGGTAGAACCTAAATCAATAAATTAGAATTAGGCTCACATGCCTTTTTCAAAATAAATAGATAAAAATAATAATAATCTTTGCATGATATATTGATGCCTTGCTTCAATTATCCTATCTATTTTTAAATAAAACTCTAAACATTTACTATGGAATTTTGAAGTCAAATTTGTTAAGTTCTAGAATTAATAAAATTCAAAAGAAAAAAAAAATTATATATATATATATATATATATATATATATATATATATATATATATATATATATATATATATATATATATAGTATGTACCGTCTTTTGTACAGGATGACTCAGGTTTGGGACCCAAGCCATGGACAAATAAGGCCTGGACAGTTACCAATGTGGAAAAATCCGACACTCCATGGTCAACGGCATTCAACACTTTTTCGAAGTCGTGAGACGAAGAATCAGGCACTAATTTGAAGTATGAAAAATTGATAATTAAAGATCATAAGGAACCCAAAATCATCAACAAAAATAAAGTACCGAATTTACCAGAGGAGTTTGGATTGTCCCGTACATGAGGAACAGATTTTCCTCCTCTGAAAAAGAGATTCTCATGAGGAGAAAATTCCAAATCGTCACCTGAAACATAAAAGAAACGATTTTTCCATCCTTTGTTGTTGGATGGATTTCCGGTAATGAGTACATTCTTCTTATCCCGGATGGAAAAATACCACCAATCACCCATCCTCTTAGGTAAGTAACAATGGAGGAATTGGGCAACTGTTAGCGAGCCGTTGCCACAAGTTCGCCAAAGAACCATGCAACCCAACATTGCTCTCCAGGCATTTGGTGTAAGTTGAGTTGGGGTAAGGTTGAGATGGTTAAGAACTTCTCTAATAATAGTAGGGACAGGGAACTGTAGACCAGACAAAAGAGCGAACTCTTTCATTAGGAACGGGAAGCCGCAGACAAACAGTTTTGGGAATCAAATATTTCGACCTAAAACGTTCTAAGTCCCCTGAAGTGAGTGAACATTCCATATCTTGCA